TTAGCCAATTTAATAACATCTTTGTTTTTCACAATCATAGATATCGTTCTCGGCATATGGTATGCAGCAGCCAAGTCCAGGATACGCATGCCACCTTCACACTTTTCAACAATCTTTTTTTCACCTCCATGGTGATCCTAACCATTTTCTTCATTGCTTGGCTCTTCTCATTAACTTTCTTAGAACTCATGGTTAATGAATTTACTAAAAATTTACATGAAAAAAAAAAAACACAAAATCACGTGAAAATTCACAGAGCTACAGTGCAGGTTGTTCACTGAATGGTAGCAACAAGCGTACTGGCGCTAGTGGGCAGTCACAGCTCTGTCTCGACAGAGGTAAACAAGAGTAGTGCGCAGTGTTGTGACTCATTTTGACCCATACAAGTTCTAGCATGAGAGTTGTATTCCAGACAAAGGTTGTATACCAAGCAAAAATTTCTGCGTCCAAACAGGACACATACCAAGTTGGCTTTATTCCAAAGTGGACGTATACTGAGAAACAAGGTACAGTGGTCCCTCAATAATCGTCCATAATCCGTTCCTGGAAGTGGGACTATTATCGAAATGGACGATTTTCGAATCAATATTCCCCATAAGAAATAATGTATATCCAATTAATTCGTTCCAGACACCCAGAAGTATCAACAAAATATTTTTTTTTTACCTAAAAGATAGATTTACATGCACAAAAGAATGAACATTCAACATGACAGTTACCTTTATTGAAGGCTGTTGTTGATGAATGGAAGACAGGGAGGAGGAGAGAGGGAAGAGAGGTTATTTGGAAGGGGAATCCCTCTCCATAAGGACTCTAGGGCACTAATAAAATGTATAAATGAACATTGGTAATAGGGGTAGTTGATGAGTGGAACGGTCTGCCTAGTAGGGTGATCGAAGCTAAAACATTGGGTAGTTTCAAATTTAGGTTGGATAAATACACGAGTGAGAGGGGTTGGATTTGAGTCGGACTTGCACCTGAGCTTATTGCTTGGGTAGCATTTGTTCTGTTAGTGGGTTGGATTTGTGAAGGACCGACCTAATATGGGCCAACAGGCTTATTGCAGTGTTCCTCCTTTCCAATGTTCTAAAAGCTATGGCTTGGGTAGTTTCAAATTTAGGATGGATAAATACACGAGTGAAAGGGGTTGGATTTGAGTCGGACTTGCACCTGAGCTTATTGCTTGGGTAGCATTTGTTCTGTTAGTGGGTTGGATTTGTGAAGGACCGACCTAATATGGGCCAACAGGCTTATTGCAGTGTTCCTCCTTTCCAATGTTCTAAAAGCTATGGCTTGGGTAGTTTCAAATTTAGGATGGATAAATACACGAGTGAAAGGGGTTGGATTTGAGTCGGACTTGCACCTGAGCTTATTGCTTGGGTAGCATGTTCTGTTAGTGGGTTGGATTTGTGAAGGACCGGCCTAGTATGGGCCAGCAGGCCTGTTGCAGTGTTCCTACTTTCTTAAGTTCTTATTTAACATCACACATACCAGTAGGGTGATCGAGGCTAGGACCTTGGGTAGCTTTAAGAAGAGATTGGACAAATATACGAGTTGGAGGAGCTGAGTTTGATTTGTGTCATTGGGTACGGGAGTAAATTCTTGGGTAGCTTTGGGTGGAGGTCATTTTGATAAGGACCTGCCTTGTATGGGCCAGTAGACCTGCAGTGTTCTTCCATTGTTATGTTCTTATTGGCTATTTGTTTGTGTGAGGGAGGGATGGCAAGTTTATTGTTGGAGAATATGACACTAATATCAACTCTATGGCTTATTTATCTATCACAATTCAACTAATATGACATAATAAGCAATATTAGTAACATAGAAACATGGAATATACTCTAGAATGAATAAAGTCATTACGTATGTCACGAGAGGTGTTGTGTTGTGTTGTGTTGTTGTTGGGTATATAAGGGCCACTGAGTGTAAGCCGTCCATAATGGTGGTGAAGCAGCAGCTGAGTCGGGGGTGGTTTTTGTAGCCCTATATAACTCCAACAACATTGGAGGAGTTGGTAGAATCACTGAATCACTAAAGAAGGAACCCACTACCACCATCACTACGACCTTCTACCACTATTACAACTGTTACCACCATCACTACTACCTTCTACCACCATCAACCACTATCACAACTGCTTCCACTCTACCACCACCATCTTTGTATTTTTCTACAAACTTTTTCATAAATTATGTGTTTCTCACATTCTTTACCAAAGGGCTGGCACTAGAAGCTTTATTTGGGGCCATGGTAGCTTATTTAGCACTTGCAAGCACTAAAATCAATGGAATATTATGAAATATTTCGTAGGAGCATGTGAGGGGACAGTCACTCACTGGTAAACAATGGCACACTGGCTGGGAAGGAAAGGCCAAGGCGGCTCAGAGCGCGAGTACACGTCCGGGACGAAGGACTATTAGGACTATTAGCGAGTTACCGGACCATTTGCGAACCAATATTTTGACGAAAAAACAGGACTATTTCCGAAACGGACGACTTTCAGGCCGGACGATTATTGAGGGACCACTGTATTTTAAAGATAATCTAAACAAACACAAATTAGCTCCCACCAAACAAAACTATAACTACAAAAAATAAGGACCGAGGAAGAGATAGGAAATTTAAAGTTAGATGAATAGATGAATGGTTCGGAGAACCGAAAAGTTGATAAATTAGACACACATGCAACACTTGTGTATCTTTATTGAGGAAACGTTTCGCCACAGAGTGACTTCATCAGTCCATACAAAGAAGAATGGTGAAGAACAGAAGGAGTATGAGGTAATCAGTCCCTCAGCCTTGCGTCAACGTGGCCAGTCCATCAATCTTGAAAAGAATACAGCATATCTGCAGGGAAGTAGCTTATATACAGTAGGCAGGAGAGGTGCAGCAGTTGTAGGTGGTATCACATTTGTCCAATGTGGAAGTAGGTCATGCCCAAGGGTTAGGCGAGTGAAGAGTTCCCTGTATTAACCCTTTCAGGGTTTCGGCCGTACTAGTACGGCTTACGCACCCGAGTTTTTGACGTACTAGTACGTTCTAGCGCCCTCAAATCTAGTGAGAGAAAGCTGGTAGGCCTATATATGAAAGAATGGGTCTATGTGGTCAGTAAGCGTGGTATAAAAAAAATCCTGCAGCACACAGTGCGTAATGAGAAAAAAAACTTTGACCATGTTTTTGGAATAAAACTGCGACTTTGCACTGTATTTTCGTAGGGTATTTATTGTTGTATTCTAGTTTTCCTGGTCTCATTTTATAGAATGGAAGACATATTACAGAAATTGAGATGATTTTGACTGGTTTTACAAAGAAAAGTACCTTGAAATTGAGCTCAAAGTAACAGAAATGTTTGATTTTTACCAAAGTTTAAAAGTAAACAAATCATGCTATGCATCCAATACACGTCAACTGACGAGTCTAATATTCTTTCACAAGTGCGCTGATATTATTTATATCATTTCTACACTAATGCAGTAGTCTGCATAACAGTAAATCTTCTTTTTTTTTTGAGAGAATAAAAATTCAAAGTGGACAGCAAAAGAATGTAAGAGGGGCGTGGGGACGTGACTAATGAACAGAGGAAATATTATTTTAGTGCCAGGAATGTCTTTCTTGTTTATTCTGGACCCTATTCGGAAATTAGCATCTTTTGAAATTTGTGTGAAATTGGCAAAATTGCTAAATTCTGACCACTGTATTGGATAGTTGAAATCGGTAAATGGGTGGTTTCTTGTACTCATTCGATAGAAAAAATGGAGTTCTAGCGAAATAGTTATGATTTTTGTCAACAACTACAGTAGAATTGGCTGAAAATAGGGCTCAAAATGGGCAAAATCGCCGATGTGTAAACATCATCGAGACCGTTAACTTCGCGAGAGCATAATTCTGTACGTTTTCCATCAAATTTCATACTTTTGGTGTCATTATGATCGGGAAAAGATTCTCTATCTTTTCACGAGAAAAAAAATACTTTTTTTTTTTTTAAATTTGGCCGACCCTGAGAACAAGTCTCTGAGACGGCCTGTCAACCCTGAAAGGGTTAAGATCCCAAGATGTTGCTGTTTATTCATGCGCAGGTCCCACTCACATCCAACCCCTCTCACTCGTGTATTTATCTAACACAAATTTGAAACTACCCCAAAGTTTTAGCCTCAATAACCATACTAGGCAGATTGTTCCACTTATCAACACAAGAACATAAGAAATGAGGAACACTGCAGCAGGCCTGTTGGCCCATACTTGGCAGATCCTTCACAAATCCAGCCCACTAACAGAATAAATGCTACCCAAGCAATAAGCTTTAATAATCCTATTTACTCACGTGCAAGTCCCCCTCAAATCCAACCCCTCTCACTCCTGTATTTTTTTTTTTTTTTTTTTTCAACAAGTCGGCCGTCTCCCACCTAAATTTGAAACTATCTAAGGTTTTAGCTTCAAATAGAACCTTGGGTAGCTTTAAAAAGATTGGACAAATATATGAGTGGGCAGGGATGGGTATGATTTATGTCGTGGGTACATAATAACATTAGAAAGGAGGAACACTGCAGTAGGCCTGGTGGCCCATACTAGGCAGGTCCTTCACAGATCCAACCCACTAAAAGAATAAACGTACCCAAGCAATAAGCGTTGACAATTCTATTTACTCATCTTGACTGTGTGCTAATGGAGTTACAGGAAACTGACATCGAAGAAATGCTGAACACTGACAATGATGCACCTGTTGTGCATTCCTTGAATGATGGTGAAATTAGATGAATTGTGATACATCAATAAGCCGTAGAGTTGATATTAGCATTATATTGAGGTATTTTGTCGTGCCTCCTAAGAGCAGGAATTCCGTTGGAACGGATTACTGCCATTTCAATTAATTTAAATAAGGAAAATTGATTCAGCATACGAACAAATGAGGTCAAGGAACGGCTTAAATTCGTAAGCTGAGGTTCCACTGTACTATACAAGTTAACAATCAAAAACAAAAACTTGCAGTTTTCTCAACTTACTTGGGCTAATTCGTAATATCCTGCAGAGCAAGCAAGAGACAGTAGGCTCTCTCCCTCTTCTGTGGTCTCATGAACAGACCGCCCTTCGTCTAGTAGCCTTCGTACCGTAGGTACGTCCCCGTCCGTGCAAGCTTCCACCAAGGTGCGCTGTCCGTCCCCAGGTGTGCTGCTGCTACTACTACTGCTGCTACTGCTGCTGCTGCTACTGCTGCTGCTACTTCCTCCCACTGTGGCTGCTGCTGCCGCTGCCGCCGCCGCCGCTGCTGCTGCTGCTGCTGCTCCACCTACTGTCTCTGAGCGCATACGCGTCAAGGCAGCTGCAGCTTCGTCCAGTGCACAAGAAACACTGGAGGTAAGTCGACGTAGCACTTCCGGGTCTGAGGATGAAGAAACTACATACAGTATTTAGCATTAGTAACTCGAACTTGCACTAGGATTCATCTCTTAGCTTATATACCTTTCTGACCCCTACACAGACTAAAAGTAAACTTAAATGTGTGTGACTCTGCAGATGTCAAGTCTTTTCAAGCAACATATTTCTCAAACCTATGCTCATCAAAATACATTCAAAACTAACTTTATTCTTAAAATCAAAGTATTAACAGTACATTAAATTAGAAAATTTGCTAGACTAATTTCAGATATGAAACATACCAAATCTGATAAAGAATACAAAAATTCTCAAATGTGAAGCTAGTCTTGTTCTGGTGACTGACAACAAGCTGCCAAGTGAGTGAGAAGATACACAATTCATAACAAGCCTTTCTTTTTGATAATAATCTGATTAGTGGTGAACTTTATCAAACTTGTTAAAGCTCACTCATGAACAACATGAAGTGTAAAATAAAGACTTGCTCTTTATTATGTGTCAACACCCAAGCCCTGTTTTACCTTTAAGAGAGAATGCAGAAGTACCAATAAAACAAAATTTAAATGCCATGCATATAACTGCCTTTAAGTAGCCATTTGGTTTTGCTGGGGTTGAGCTACAGCTGTTGTTTCCAACAACTTTCGAGCAACAAATGTGAAACAGCCTTACCATGCCTGTTTATAAATCCCAATATGGAGTCAGACTCCACTGTAAGTACTCAAGATATACTTTATTTTTTTTTTAACCCACTTATGTTTAAGAATTTTTTAATAGTATATGTACCAGCGGCTCGTTAACCCTTAAACTGTCCAAACGTAGATTTATGTTTGGACAGTTTAAGAGTTAATATGGGCAATTTACAACCAGGAACTCTTGTTCTTGTTTCATTCCTGGTATAGAAATATACAGTGGAACTCTAGATTTCGTATGCACCGAATATCGTACATTTCGGATTTAGACCACTCTTTTGGGCAAAATTTTGGTCCATATTTCATACCTCCACCCAGAAATCTTCCGTATCAGATGTATCGGTTCATATGCTTGTGACTCAGTCTGCCTTTGTTACTCGTTGAGTAAATATTACTCCGCATTCATCCGAAACATTTTGTAAAAATCCACTGTTTTTCGTGTTTGTGACTGCTAAATAAGCCACCATGGGGCCAAAGAAAGTTCATAGTGCCAGCCCTTTGATAAAGAAGACGAGAAACACGATAGATTTCTTCAGTGATTCTACGATATGTATGATACTGAAGCAGCAGTAGTCAAAGGCTACAGTGCCAGCCAGCGATAAAGTGTAGCATTAACAGCATAGCAAGTTAAGCGATTAAGCAACAGAAAAAGGACACAAAACTAACTTCTCCAATGTTGTTGGAGGTTTATAGGGCCACTGCGCAATCTTCCACCACCCTAAACCTCTGCCAGCATCTCCTCCAAGGTAAATGTGTAATATAGTATACATACAATAACCACTATTTCTTTACATTCTCTATTATGTTTTTATACAATATTTCTTATTTATTAATTATGTACATTGTTTCAATGTTTTCCTTATGAAACTGTGATGTGATTGTGAGGCTAACTGCCCTACTCCATTTTCTCTTACAATAATGGGAAGATATGTAGTCACTGCACGAGAGAGAATGGTAGCTGCCGCAGCCACCCCTAATCACATATGTAATGACATTTTATTCATTCTAGAGTACATATATCATGTTTCTGTGTTATTAACATTATGTCATATTAGATGAATTGTGATAGAGAAATAAGCCATAGAGTTGATATTAGCATCATATTCAAGTATTTTGTCCTGTCTCCAAACAATACTCTCCTCCCTCTCTGCTCCTCACTGTCTTCCATATGCCAACAAGACTCTTCAGTAAAGGTAAAAGTGATTTAAATGTTCATTTATCCATTTCATTAGTCCTTTACATTTCTCATTGTTTTTCTTTATGTAAAAGCTATAGTTATTCTCTATAAAAATTTATTTTTTGTTAATACTTTTGGGAGTCTGAAATGGATTAACTGTATTTACATTATTTCTTATGGGAAATATTACTTTGGTTTTCGTACGTTTCGGATTTAGACTGACCTTCTGGAACGGATTAAGTATGAAATCCGGGGTTCCACTGTACTTATTGGCCCTGTCTATGCCCAACAGTATTTTTAACCCTTTCAGGGTCCAGAGGCCAAATTTCAAAGTGTGCACCAGTGTCCAAGAATTTTCAAAAAATAATTTTGTTATTTTTTTCTTATGAAATGATAGAGAATCTTTTTCTGAAGGTAATAAAACAAGAAGTATGAAATTTGGTGGAAAACTGATGAAATTATGTTCTCGTGAATTTTGATGTGTCAGCGATATTCATACATCGGCGATTTTGCCGACTTCGACTCCCATTTTAGGCCAATTACATTATTCCAGTCGACCAAATTCTTAGTTATTTCAGTACTGTTACATCTATTCTATCGATTGAGCAGAAGAAATTGCCAAATCAACTGTGTCAACTACAAAATAATGTGATCAGAAATTGGTAATTTGGCCAATTTAGTGCAAAGTTCAAAATATTCCAATTTCAAAATAGGGTTCAGAATAAACAATGCAGGCATTCCTGGCACTAAACTAACATTTCCTCTGTTCATTAGTTACGTTTTCAGGCTTTACAAATGAATTCCATTTTGATTTTTATTCACATAATGAATAAGGAATTGGCAGAGAGCATGCATAGTTCCTTTGTATAAAGGCAAAGGGGACAAAAGAGAGTGCAAAAATTATAGGGGGATAAATCTGTTGAGTATACCTGGTAAAGTGTATGGTAGAATTATTATTGAAAGAATTAAGAGTAAGATGGAGAATAGGATAGCAGATGAACAAGGAGGCTTTAGGAAAGGTAGGGGGTGTGTGGACCCGGTGTTTACAGTGAAACATATTAGTGAACAGTATTCAGATAAGGCTAAAGAGGTCTTTGTGGCATTTATGGATTTGGAAAAGGCATATGACAGGGTGGATAGGGGGGCAATGTGGCAGATGTTGCAGGTGTATGGTGTAGGAGGTAGGTTACTGAAAGCAGTGAAGATTTTTTTACGAGGATAGTGAGGCTCAAGTTAGAGTATGTAGGAAAGAGGGAAATTATTTCCCAGTAAAAGTAGGCCTTAGACAAGGATGTGTGATGTCACCATGGTTGTTTAATATATTTATAGATAGGGTTGTAAGAGAAGTAAATGCGAGGGTCTTGGCAAAAGGCGTGGAGTTAAAAGATAAAGAATCACACAAAGTGGGAGTTGTCACAGTTGCTCTTTGCTGATGACACTGTGCTCTTGGGAGATTCTGAAGAGAAGTTGCAGAGATTGGTGGATGAATTTGGTAGGGTGTGCAAAAGAAGAAAATTAAAAGTGAATACAGGAAAGAGTAAGGTTCAGTGAGAAGCCTGCACAAAGATTGCACTTTGACTGCTAGCTCGCTCACTGCAGTCTGGTGTATGATGTCACGACTCCCAGATGTTTCGCCCAGTCGTCTCTGCCACGACTCGCTCCGCGAGTCGTGGCCAAGGTGGGAGAGGTGAGTCGTGGCCAAGGTGGCAGAGGTGAGTCGTGGCCAAGTGCGGTGTCTGCCAAGGTGCAGAGGTGAGTCGTGGCCAAGGTGGCAGAGGTGAGTCGTGGCCAAGGTGGCAGAGGTGAGTCGTGGCCAAGGTGGCAGAGGTGAGTCGTGGCCAAGGTGGCAGAGGTGAGTCGTGGCCAAGGTGGCAGAGGTGAGTCGTGGCCAAGGTGGCAGAGATGAGTCATGGCCAAGGTGGCAGAGGTGAGTCGTGGCCAAGGTGGCAGAGGTGAGTCGTGGCCAAGGTGGCAGAGGTGAGTCGTGGCCAAGGTGGCAGAGGTGAGTCGTGGCCAAGGTGGCAGAGGTGAGTCATGGCCAAGGTGGCAGAGGTGAGTCGTGGCCAAGGTGGCAGAGGTGAGTCATGGCCAAGGTGGCAGAGGTGAGTTGTGGCCAAGGTGGCAGAGGTGAGTCGTGGCCAAGGTGGCAGAGGTGAGTCGTGCCAAGGTGGCAGAGGTGAGTCGTGGCCAAGGTGGCAGAGGTGAGTCATGGCCAAGGTGGCAGAGGTGAGTCATGGCCAAGGTGGCAGAGGTGAGTCATGGCCAAGGTGGCAGAGGTGAGTTGTGGCCAAGGTGGCAGAGGCGAGTCGTGGCCAAGGTGGCAGAGGTGAGTCGTGGCCAAGGTGGCAGAGGTGAGTCGTGGCCAAGGTGGCAGAGGTGAGGCGTGGCCAAGGACTTCCCCAATGCCACAATGGATTCCTCAACTGGCATAGGATTCCCAGGGTTAGCCTCAAACCCTTCAAAATCCCTTTTGTCTACACATTCTGGCCACAGTTTTTTCCAAGCAGAGTTCAAGGTCCTCCTCTTAGTCACTCCCTCCCAAGCCTTACCTATAATTTTTGCACAATTGAGGATATTAAAGTGATCCTTCCAAAACTCTTTTAGAGTCAATAGAGTGTCTGTGGTCACTTCAAAGCACCTTTCAAACATAGCTTTTGTGTACAGTTTCTTGAAGTTGGAAATGACCTGCTGGTCCATGGGCTGCAGGAGAGGAGTGGTATTAGGAGGCAAAAACTTGACCTTAATGTAGCTCATGTCCCCAGAAAGTCGTTCTGCCAAGTCTGTAGGATGACCAGAGGCATTGTCTAATACCAGGAGGCACTTAAGGTCTAATTTCTTTTCAATTAGGTAATTTTTCACATTGGGGGCAAATGCATGGTGTAACCAGTCATTGAAAAAGTCCCTATTGACCCATGCTTTACTGTTCGCCCTCCACAGCACACACAAATTAGCTTTGAGGATATTCTTTTGCCTGAATGCTCTAGGAGTTTCTGAGTGATACACCAATAAAGGCTTCACTTTGCAATCACCACTAGCATTGGCACACATCAGAAGAGTATGCCTGTCTTTCATAGGCTTATGTCCTGGGAGTGCCTTTTCCTCCTGAGTAATGTAGGTCCTGCTTGGCAATTTCTTTCAAAACAGGCCTGTTTCGTC